AGAAATGTTTGTCAATTTATTTTGCATGTAGTACCTTTTTTTGACCACCAGATAGCAGTATAAGACGGAACCGAAGGATGGATAGTGAGGGAGCGAACAGCGTGTCTCTAAAATGGGAGGGAGGCCCCTTGGCGTGATATGGGATGTCTCTCTATGGTTCTCAAAATGGCGGATGCTCGGTGTGGTTTGAGCTCTTTAACATAGCACTTTTTACACAAAGCTTTTAAAAAAAAATCAGTAAACAAGTTCTCAGCTTCTTTTTGCAGAGAAAAACATTTTACACGAAGGCACGAGTTTCAACCGTGAATTTTGGAGCTTCAACAAAACGGATGTTTGTTCCCGATGTCAGCCTGTTAACTTAGCTTCTCAGCTTAGCTTCTTTTAATGATCCAAAAATGCAATTTTGGACGGTTAAAACTGATTTTAAAGAGAAAAGAGTAAGGGAGGAGTCAGTGAAGAGCACCGGAGTTGAGCTTTTTGTCATCCCTTGAGAGAAACACAAAGAAATGATAAAGCCGATAAACGATAATGAGGTTGATAATTTTAATTTATCATGTGACTAATTGATTTATTGTTTATCGAGACAGGCCTACTTCAAATTACTTAAATTTGGTTCTTTGCTGCCTTTCCCTTTGAGTTCACGAGTCCCTTTTATGCTCAAACGAATCCAACGTCAGATTTATGTGGTTAAAAAAAAAAAATCAGTACCCTGAAAATGTTCATGAACTGGACTAAATAAGAAAAACGTTTAAAAGAACCTCAGACATTATTGCTGAAGACCAGTTTAATGAACACAAGATGTGCAGATATGCAGGATGGGAGCACTTTTTCTTTTCCAAACACCGTGCTGCTGCATGTGAAACAGAACCACCAGAGGAGGTCCAGGAACAGGCTGGTGAAGGTCAGGTTTCTCCCGACACCTGGAGCCCCCCTAAACGTGTGTTGCCCCGGGTGATGTGCGGTGTCAGTCAATGCCCCACGAGGAGTGCTATCTCTTTCAGGATCCTAACGGCCACTTTGTGGCTGCGTAACAGGATCCGCCGCCGTACTGGACGGACAGGGACAATGGGGTGTCCTCTCAGGTGATGTTCTCCAGGTCAGATAGACTTTCCTGTTCAGATGTGCTGCCTAGTGAATATGGTTATGTTTTACTGCTTGGTTTCTTTTGAGTTTTCATTAGCTGGTTGTGATTTAACTAGTCTGCATCATTCTATTCTAACCAGTGACAGAAAGCGAAGGTCTTTTCTAAGATTTTTTTTTTGCTCTTTAAAAGTTGTTTTTCCTGTTACAGCATGCAGTTTTAAAAAAAAAAAAATTTCTCTGTCATGTGTTTGTTTGAGGTCACATTTCCTTTGAATCTCTTCCCTGCTCTGGATGACACTTGATAACTTGGATGCCCAAAGAAGCATGAAGTTAAACAACAGGCTGGATTTTCTGCAACAGATCCTGAACATCTTGGATTTATTATGTAAAAAATAACTGAAGTGTTTTGAAAAGACACTGCAAACACAATTTTGGTGATGCTACATTTCTTCCTCAACATATACAGTATATATATATATATATATATATATATATATTGCATGTTCTGATTTAATTTTAATATAATTATTTATTTACAAAAGCATCTTATGTGCTAAATTAATAAAATAACACAGAATAGTAAATTAGATGAACATAGCTGCAAGATTTCAAGAAAAAAACATTTGTTTCTTAAGTGCAGGAGTCGCATGTCTGTCTCCATGTTTATTGATGCCAGTTTGACTTTTTAAATAATTACTTGCTAATGAAGAGATAAACTGAGCAGTTTTACAACATTATAACTAAAGTGATGTTGGGTTAAAATTGGCATTAACACATCATAAAAAATTTAGAAAATGAGTGAAAATATCCTGGAGTCTGCATTTTTTTCTACTTCATCTGTCACAAAAACAAATGCTCACACAAATACATATTTAGAAACAGATTTTGAGCCTTCGTTGAACACGCAACATTATTTATGACTTCCTATTAAAGGAAGCAGCGACTGTAATCAGTCAGTGTTTCCTGTGTTCCCTTCAATAAAACCAGATGCTCAGTTCGGCTCACATCAGAAAAAAATACTGCAGCGAGCGTTAAAGACCCTCCAGGTAGGAATACTGTACACTTTTAATAGTTCGTTTTATTTCTGTTAACATTTTTAGGGCATTTTAACAATTGTATTGCTGCGTGTATGATTTACAAAAAGGTCTGAGAAATATTTTTATTATTGTAAAAAAACAACAACAACAAATAAAACCAGTTGTTTCGTAAACTCTCAAGATGTATTTCTCTCTTATTTACACTGTCGGTGCAAAAGGGATTCCCCAAAACAACCAGGTGTATGCGTCATCAGATTTATCAAGTCAATTCAAGGTTCTTTATCATTCGCACCACATGTGGTACATGTGGTGGAACTAAATTGTGTACACGGGGTCCCATTTACATCCAACAAAAGTATAAATTGTATAGAAAAACTAACATTCCTAAGATTTATAACAAAGCTTTGGAGAACAGTCATCAATTACAGAAGATCAATGCACTAAAGTTCACACTTATCAATGCTTTCACATGTCTGAGGCTCTGACACATTCTGACTTCCTGAACAGGGAAAAAAATAGTTAAAACCAGTTTCTGGGAGTGCAATGGGAGGCTGGCTTGAAACACATCAAGGAGGTGCTATTTATAAGACAGATCTGGGTTGGCAGGCCTCGGACTGATGAAGAAACTACTAAAAGAAACTTGTCCAGATGACATGATTTAACCTTTTTTGTGTTGCAGTGTGTGGTGTTCAGAACAATGTGGAAATGATTTATTTCAGATCTAACTCACTGGAACATCTTGCTGTGAGTTTGTGCTGTCAGCAGCCCGGCAGCTTGTCAGTTTGAGTTACTCTGACTTGGTGACGGGTCAGCTTGGCAGCCACGAATGCCAAACTACTGGAACACGATCCCAGATGGCTCAATAATAGCACCATAATTAAAGAAAATGGATCACTGATTATTATCTGGAAGACACCAAGCTCTGTATTAAGTAGCTGTGTTTATGCATCATATATTGAATACTACCACTTAACTGTGCTTTGTTGGCGGTAAGTGTTTGCTTAGCACCTGCACAAAAAATAAAAAATACAGATTGTGTTGCATGTGGGTGTTCTGTTGTAAACAAGAGTGGTGGCTCTGTAGACAACATGACGGCAGATAAGATAGTTGTGGCTGAATTTAGAGCGGACGTGTGCATAGAGGATGTGACCAAGGCCGCTAACGGGATAAGAGCACAAACTGCAGGCAGTGAGCTGCCCTTTGGAAAATATAATTTACCAGAAATCATAGCATGTGTGTGTGACTGTGTCCTGCAGCACTGACAGCTTTTAAAAAAACTGGGACACACAATAGGTGCCTGCTTTACAGACGTTTTTATTTCATTTTTTTTAAATGTGGACCCAAAAACTACACAGTGGTCTTTGATCAAGTGTTCAATGAGCTTTCTGTTGGTTTTTAAAGTTTTACATTTTAAACTTTGACTGCTTATTCACTCATTTAGCAGCCAAATACCTGTGTAATGATGGCTTTCTGTGTGCAAAAAGTGTTTTTATTTTTTAACCCAAGAGGAAAAAAACAAAACAAAAGAAAGATAAAGAAAGAACTGTAGACCTAAATGAGATGATCAGTCATGTCTTTAAGAAAAATGGGAAAATAAATATGTGGGTGATGCGTCTTTTAGAATCACGATCTTAAAATAAGAAAATACAATTGTATATGTCATATTATGTTATCTTTGATGTTTTTTTGGAGGCAACTAAAGAAAATATACCAGTTTTTGTATTTAGCACAAGCTCCAAGTAACAAAGTCCTTAAGTATTCAACCTCAAATATGACTACCGTAATTTCTGGACTGAAACTACTTTTTTCACACACTTTGAACACCGTGGCTTATACAATGCTGCGGCTTATTTATTGATTTTTTATTTTTTTGATGGGTTATCGAGCTTCATGCCACCAAAAGATTTAGCCTCGTCACACCTGGGCGCTCACATAGCTGCCCCATACACGTCTCTCTTGGGGGGCGGGTCCTCGTGACTCATTGAGACTACCTGTATAAATAAATCTAACGAAGTTGTCAAGTACTCTGAACAGATTCATTTTGTTGAAACATTTCGTCTTTTATTCAAAAGACTTTGTCAATCTTGGGAGCTGCAATAAACTATACTAACTCAGTGCTAACAATACAAACTAACCAATAAACTGCAATAAAAATAAAATATGTTACTGGCGCATATTTAATTAAACGTATATTTCTGTGTAAATATTTCATGTTACAACGTGGACACCTGCGGCTTGTATACAAGCGTGGCCTATATATGTACAATTTTTTTTTTCTTTTAAAATTTAGTGGGCGTGGCTTATATTCAGGCGCACTCAATAGTCTGAAAATTACGGTAATTGCTAAACTGTGTCTTAGTTTGTTGTTATATGGAGTTAGGAGGCTTTCTTATGCTTAAAAAAACATGTTCTTCTGAAAATGGACAGTTACTGGAAGGATATAAGTAAAAGCAATCACAGTTTGAAATAATAGTTCAGAAATTCTGAGGAATTAAACATCAACACCACTTCAAAGAGGAAAAGAAAGTCAAAAAGCAAAGAAATGAAAGGTGGTTTATGACAGAGACGATAAGACCTGTGCTACCTTCATGGTTGTGGGATGTCAAAGTCAAAGTTTCTTTATTTGTTATACGCACCACATGTGGTACATGTGGTGGAATGAAATTGTGTACATAGTGTCCCATTTACATCCAACAGAAGAATAAAATGTAAAAGAAAAACAGTAATAAGACCTAAAATATGAACTAAAAAAAAACATTAAACTACAAATATGCTAAGCACTAGTAGTACAAGAACAATACACCGAACTGAACAGCGGCACAAAGAACAGTCACTGAAGAGTTGCTGTTTTCTTCTCAGAGCCTGGAGGAGCGGTGCAACCGGATCCTGAGGAACATGGAGGCCTCCTTGACGGCCCGAGATCGCGTGGGCATCCAGGATTTTGTCCTCCTGGATGCCTACACGAGTGAGAGTGCCTTCCTGGACAACCTGAGGAAACGCTTCCACGAGAATCTCATTTACGTGAGTCATTTCCCATGTCCTTCCTGTGTGGTGCTACTTTGGATGGACACCCTCAGTCTAATCAAACATCGCCCCCCTCTTGACCTCCAACCCCCTCTCATCCTAACACGACACCCGCTTCAGCAGAATGTGGGACCTGGTGCTGCTGAGATAGCAGCTCTGGTTCTTCAAATGTGCAGAGCGAGCACTCAGAAGGTCACGACCTGACAAGTGATTAACTTAACTTATTGCTCTTGATAAAGGACAAAACTAAATATAAGCAGAGGAATGAAACATAGATATCAGTTGATGTCATGAGATCATTGAGAAGAATTGTTTTTATTGTCGAACGTGCAAGAGCTGCAGAGCATGAGTTCACGTCCTTGTCTTCTTTCATAGACCTACATCGGGACTCTGCTGGTGTCGGTGAACCCGTACAAAGAGTTGGACATCTACAGCAAAAAGCAAATGGACACGTACATGGGAGTTAACTTCTTTGAGCTGCCGCCTCATATGTGAGTTTTCTTTTTCTTTTATAATACCTGCAAACAACTTGAACTTTATTTACAAAGAAGTAACCGATACCTGTGGTATTGTTTTGTTCAGGAGACAATCCCCCAAATCCAAATCCTCCTAGTTTTAGTTATTTAGGAACGTGACTCACTCAGAGTGTTTATGATGCTTCAACGATGTAGATAATCCAAAACCCGAATGAACAATTACCTCATAATCAGTGGCGGCTCCTGAGCAAAATTATAAGTGGGGTGGACATTAATTTCATGAATCACTGAAAAAAAGGAAATATTCTGCTTAATATTTTGTTTATTGTTGTTTTGTGTGCAAGTGTTTCTACAAAGTTTTTGGCTTTTGTCTCCCTACCATGGGTCGAGGTTGTGTCTCGTGAACAATAGTCCGGTCTAATAAATCAGTGAAACGCCTTCCACAGTCACGCTCCACCTGCCAGGTGCACCACTTTCTAATTTGGATTGGATTTCTAATTTGATTTTGAAGTCATAACTTTGAAACAATAATCCAGATTAATGCAGTTTAATGAGAGGAAAAAAGTTAAGTGAAACAACAACAAAAAAAACAAAACAAAGTAAAAAATTAGGATAGAAAATACGTATAATCACCATATCAAATAAAATAACCAGTATGGGATCAAACCCACAATCAAGTGGTTGCAAGAGCAGTGCTTTAACCAATTATCCACCATAGACACAGAACTCTTTAAAGAAGATCCCCTCTGTCTGCTTCAAATGAATATAAAACCATGATATCTCCACTGATGGACTCAGCAGGTTTCGCTGCAGCTGTAGTTTGTTGATCTCACAGGTCTAGGGTTAGTAATGGTCATATCAACGTGCTAAAATAAGTCAAATGTGTCCACAGGGCAGGAAATCAGATGCCACAAATGAAACTCTTGGCTCTGCCTGTTCAGATCACTGTTCATTTTACTGGGAATTTTGTCTCCAGTAGTTTAATTTATACGATTATGTCGTCCTAAATTTACATTGAATAAAAAGCTGTGCTTTATCCTAAATGTAAAACAAATCCAAATATGTTTTTACTTGTTTTTTTAAATGCCTTGTCTTTGTATTTTCAGCTACGCTCTGGCAGATAACGTCTTCCGCACCATGAAGTCTGAATTCAACAACCACTTCATCCTGATCTCTGGGGAGAGTGGGGCTGGAAAAACCGAGGCCTCCAAGAAAATTCTTCAGTTCTACGCCGTCAGCTGTCCAAGCACCAAAGTCCTAAACAACGTCCGGGACAGGCTGCTTCTCTCTAATCCAGTGCTCGAAGTTAGTGACAGAGAGTTTGTGCTCTTAAAGTCCAGTTTTAGGCTAAAACTATATCTTTAAATCATGCAATTTACAAAGTTTTCTTTGTTTTTTCAAACCTTTAGGCTTTCGGAAATGCCAAAACTCTGAAGAACGACAACTCAAGCCGCTTCGGGAAATACATGGACATCCAGTTTGACCACCAGGTACACTGAAACATTTACCTGAAGATCTAATGAGCTGAGAGTTTAACACTGACCGTTCATGCAGGGTGGAGCTGTCGGGGGTCACATTCTCAATTACCTGCTGGAGAAGTCCCGTGTGGTGCACCAGAACCACGGAGAGAGAAATTTCCACATCTTCTACCAGCTGGTGGAAGGAGGAGAAGAAGACCTGCTCCTCTGGCTTGGCCTGGAGAGGAACTGCAAGAACTACCGTTACCTTGTACAGGTCAGATGGACACAAGAAAAGGAGGCATGGAGATGGACATGAAATAATTTGTATTTAGTGTTTGATTTTCTCTGCTTTCAGGGAGATTGTGCCAAAGTTAGCTCTATCAACGATAAACGTGAGTGGAAGACAGTGAGGAAAGCACTTTCTGTCATAGACTTCAGTGAAGGGGAAACTGAGGTGAGGAGGCTCAGTTTAATTAACTTTAATAGCCACTATATGACAGTTAAATGGAATATATTTTACATTTTTCAATTAACAAATCACTTTTTGTTTCTCTCGGCCAAATGCAGGACCTGTTTGGAGTTATTGGTAGCGTGCTCCACTTAGGAAATGTAAAGTTTGATGCAGATGCTCGAGGATACGCCACTCTCAGCAACAACCCAGAGTTGCAATGGGTGTCAAAGGTGGATTCCAAGCAAACATTTAAGTCCTACCCACACACAACTTTAACATGTCTAACTCCAGTGAATTGAATGCATGCTATTTTTCTTGGTCTTTGCTGTGCAGTTGTTGGGGATTCCTAATCAGGTGCTACAACAGGGCTTAACCCACAGAAAGATAGAAGCCAAAACAGAGGAGGTGGGTTTTATAAACCTTTAAAAGTATTTAACTTTATGCTGTTGTTGATTTGCAATTAAAAGTTAATATTATTTTATTGTGAAAGGTGCTCAGTCCCTTCTCCGTGGACCATGCAGTATATGCCAGGGATGCCCTTGCCAAAGCCATCTACGGCCGCACTTTCAACTGGCTGGTCAACAAGATCAATGAATCTTTAGCTAACAAGGTAAGCGCTTATCTTGATTCATAATCACTGTAAATGGGGGAGAATTAAACCATCAACCCCCTAAAACTTTACATCTGTGTGCGCTATATGCAGGATTCGTCCAGGAAAACAGTGATTGGTTTGCTGGACATCTATGGGTTTGAAGTTTTCAATGTGAACAGGTGAACTCTCACACGTTTGAGCAATTCCTCCAAGGCAAAAGTCTAAAAAAACCCCCCAAAAAACAAGAGTTTGACACTGACAACACCGGTTGTTTCAGCTTCGAACAGTTTTGCATCAACTTCTGCAACGAGAAGCTGCAGCAGCTTTTCATCCAGCTGACCCTCAAATCAGAACAGGAGGAATACGAGATGGAGGGGATTGAGGTAAAATCCTAGTACTTCACAAAGTGGAACTATTTTTCTTAGTCAGCTCATGTACAATAAAGTTTGATCCACTCAAGCTGCTCTCGTTTGTGTGCACAGTGGGAACCGGTGCCATATTTCAACAACAAGATCATCTGTGATCTGGTGGAGGAAAAATTTAGAGGAATTATCTCTTTGCTGGTAAGCGATGGTGCTGCAGAACAACACACACAAAAAAACTATCATTAAGTATATAAACATGACTGGAAAGTTGCTGTTTCTGTTGTTACAGGATGAGGAGTGTCTGCGCCCTGGAGAGGCCACAGATCTCACTTTCCTGGAAAAGATTGAGGAAAAAATTGGCGGCCATCCTCACTTTGTCACGTGAGACTTCAAGCTTTTCAGGAAACATGTTCCAGAAATCCAAATAAGACAAAATCATAAATATTAAATTAATTTGCAATGATGTTCCTCCTCCCCGCAGTCACAAACTTGCAAACAAAGACACAAGAAAAACACTGAACCGAGGAGACTTCCGTCTGTTGCACTACGCTGGGGAGGTCACATACTGTGTTGTTGGTAAGAGACAACAAACAAGTCTCTAGATGCTGAAAACTGTGATGTAGATCTATAAAAAACAGATTTCTGTCAAATAATGTGTTTAATGTTACTGGACTCAATGAACTTTCTGTGAGACTAAGTTTAAAAAAAAAAATCTCCATGAAATGCACTTTTTAATCGTTTGTTCTGCAACTTTTCAGGATTCTTGGACAAAAACAATGATCTGTTGTATCGAACTGGAAAAGAGGTGCTTTATTGTGACATTATTTTTATTTTATTCCATACAAACAGATGTATCTAACTCATACACACAATTGTTCTTTTGAAAATATGATTTATGATTTATACAATTTTTACTGCTATTAAACACATCAGAATAAAAGTAAAAATCTTGTTTTGTATACAGAAGTCTGGATGTAAATTTATCTAAACTCACTATGAGCATGAATGTTTTATTTAAATTGTTTTTTTTTTCTGAGAGGGAATGAATGTGCAATATAAAACATAAGATTATATCGTATTTTTCAGAATATAAGGCACACTTAAAATCCTTTAATTTTCTCAAAAATCGACAGTGAGCCTTATGTATGAAAACAGACCAGTTCATTGATATTGCAACTTATAATCCTGTGCGCCTTATGTATGAAAACAGACCAGTTCATTGATATTGTGCTTTATAATCCTGTGTGCCTTAAAGTCCAAAAAATACTGTAGCTGTTGGTATTCAGGAATCAGATAAACTAAAGCTACAAACTTCAAAATCTAAATATATTCCACATTATTTTAGTGGACTTTGCTTAAAAGTTTGACCTAATAAATAAGTCCACGGCAAAAGATAAATTTTAGCCGGTTTTATCCATTCAGCAACTAATAGGTTTCATAGTTTTGGTGTTAAACCATTAATCTATCCTGTATAGCCTTGGTACTTCTACTTCTACTTGTTCCTGTTCTTTTAGGTCATGAGGCAGTCCAAGAACGCCATCATCAAACATTGTTTTCCCTCCAGTGAACCAGACAGCAAGAAGAGGCCCGAAACTGTACGAAGCTACTCAGAGGATGCTGAATGTCTCAAAAATCATAAATGCATATTTTATATGTTCTTTGCATGTGTTGGTGATTTTTCAGGTGGTGACCCAGTTTAAGAATAGCCTGGTTGGCCTGACTGAGATCTTAATGTCCAAAGAACCTTGGTATGTCCGCTGCGTTAAACCCAACGAAGCCAAACAGCCAGGTGAGACCTTGTGTCTGGAAGAAGCTGGTCCGTAAAGCAGTAGTCAAGATCAGGCGTTAAGAGTTCAGATGGTGGTTTTGTGATCTGCAGGCCAGTTTGATGATGTGTTGGTTAGACATCAAGTTAAGTACCTGGGGCTGATGGAGCACCTCAGGGTCAGACGGGCTGGGTTTGCATATCGCCGTAAATATGAGATATTTCTCCAGAGGTAGCCCACACAGATTATGGTGTTATTTTTGGCTTACATGATTTTCTTTGTCTAAAGTTTGCCTTTTGTTTGCTCACCGCTCCACTTCTGCACCCAGATACAAGGCTTTGTGTCCGGACACCTGGCCCAACTGGAAAGGTAGTCCAGCAGAAGGTGTGCTGTGCCTCATTAAACACTTGGGTTATAAACCTGATGAGTACAAGATGGGAAGGTATAGGCCAGTAGCTCTCACACTGGGTCTATTAATGCAGACACACCACAGGATTGTAGGTTTTATTTGCTCTACACTTTTGCTTCTTCATCTAAAGGACAAAGATTTTCATCCGCCACCCTCGGACTCTGTTTGCAACAGAGGACGCCTTTCAGATCTGCAAACATAAGCTAGGTGAGACATGGTTTAGTGATGCTACATATAATGTATCACATCACATGAGTAAATATCGGATCCGTCAATACAGCAACAAGGATTCAGGCCAAATATAAAGGCTACAGGGTGAAAGAGGACTACCTGAAACAGAAGGAGGCTGGTGAGTGACGAGGGCGATCAAGAAGAGGATCTTTAATTACCTTTTATTACATTTAAACCAGATTAAAACAGTTTATGCTGCCTTGTCTGATCAAAACAGCCACAAAGATAGAGAACTGTTGGAGAGGTCTGATGGCGAGGAAGGAACGGGAGAGGAGAGCTTGGGCCGTCAAAGTCATCAAACGGTAAACAAAACACATAACAAGACAAAAAAGCAGTGTCTGTGACATGATACAGCAGTTTAATGTAAGATAATTATTTGTGCTGAAGGTTCATCAAAGGTTTCATGGCCAGAAATGAACCAGCCTGCATCGACAACAGTGAATACCTGGCCTACGTGAGGCAGAACTACCTCTCACGACTGAAGGAGAACCTTCCCAAAACCGTCCTGGAGAAAGACTCCTGGCTCACGCCGCCTCCTGTCATGAGGGAGGTGAGTTCATTCATTCATTAAAAAAAAAAGACTCTGTACACTGTTTTTAACAAAGAATGATGGCAACAGTAGACAATCATAAAAGAAGGCATATACAAATTGAAAAAATAAATGGAAGAAAATGACATTAAAAAACAAAACAAAAACAGCTACAATGTAAATCGTTGTAGAAAACTAAAAACAGGAACATGTCTGCATTGGTTCTTGCCAGGAACTTAACAGACGTTTGAAGCCACTTGAGAGGTCAAGGTCGAGAGCCTCAGATCTTTTTGCAAGATATTCCAGGAAACAGGAGCGGAGTAGGAGAAGGCCCTTTTGCCTAGTTCAGTCCTCACTGAGGGGACACTGCATGTAATAATGTCCCGAGAGCGCACGCTGTAGCTGCACTCACGCAGAGACATGTAGGAGGAGATGTATGAAGGCAACAGACCAAGAAGTGATTTAAATATGAAAATGTACCAGTGAGAGAGTCTGTGTGAACTTAATGATGACCAGTGAACCAGTGAATACAGGGTGCGATGGTGGGTACGGTAGTTACAGCCAGTTATGAATCGTACCGCACCATAATAGGCAGCGTCCAACATCTGCAAGGTGCTTGTAGGAGCGCTCATGTAAATTATGTCACCATAGTCAATGGAGGTAAGGAAAGTCACAGTTACAAGGTGTTTCCTAGCATTCATAGTTAGACCGGATCTATTTCTGAAAAAGAAGCCCAATTTAACTTTCAGTTTCTTTACCAAGTGTTTGACGTGGGACTTAAAAGAGAGATGCGAAACGACCAAGATACTCAAGTATTTGTAGGAAACGACAAACTCAATAGGAACACCAATCAAAGATAAAATACAAGGAAGGGCTGCTGGAATGATTTCCTGTTAGAAAAAAGCATCACTTTAGTTTTGTTGGCGTTTAGGACCAGTTTGAGATGGAACAAATCTGACTGGATGATGCTGAAAGCAGATTGCAAAAGCTCGAAAACCTTAACAACTGTTTCAGCTCGACAATAAACAACTGTATCATCAGCATAGAAATGTAACGATGCATCAGGGATGATCTGACCTACATTACCTATGTAGATTGTGAAAAGGGTGGGTCCTAAGACTGAGCCTTGTGGTACACCAATGTTACACCATTGAGTGTTTTTTTTAAGAATGCAGAGCAGCAGATGGAATTAAAAACATCTTGTTAAGAAACTAAATCAAGTAGCTCGTCACAGTCAGCTGCACGTTTTGCAGGTCTCACAACGCCTACAGAAGATTTACATTCGCAGCCTGGTGAGAAAGTATGTCCGCGGACTCACCCCCCAAAGGAAATCACAGGTACAACTCACCCTTTAAAGTGTGTAAAATAACAAAAAAATACTGTTTTACAGTTTTTGTTCTAAATCCTATTTAGTGAACAAAATTATTTATTTTAACATTTCTTTCCCTCCAGCTCCTGTTGAAAGTCCAGACCAGCTCCATGTTCAAAGGAAAAAAGGAGAACTATCCCTTTAGTGTGTGCAGACTGTTTGTGGACACCAGGATTAGTAAGATTAGTTATAGAGCATTCTTATTAACACTTGGTGGATTTATCAAAGGAAACATCTAGGAACCACACGATCTGTGGTTACTACAATCATTCCTCCTGTTGTTACAATATTTGTGGTAATTTCCTATCTTTAAAGTAACAGAGAAGTAATGTTACCTTTAGATAGACTTATAGTGTTTTTCATGTACCTGTGTTTCTTCCCCATTTAAAAGTACACATAATAAACCAGGAATTTTAATCAACCTTTAGCCTTTCTATTAACAGACTAACATGATTAATTCTGTATGTTCATATAGTCTTCTCGTTTTTTTAAAATTGTTTTACTGTTTTGCGAAGTTCTAGAAGACATACACATGAAGGTCCTTCAGATGATTCAACATGAGCACATCAAGGTAAACAAATATCTTTATTTTTCCTCGACACATTTGAATTTATTTCATTTTACGGCAGGATTTATTCACCATCATTCCTCACAACATCCAAGTCATAAAGGGGAGCAGCAGTATTAAACACGCTAATTAAATATATATATATAATTAACTATACATACTAAATATTGCACTTTGAATTGCAGCAAGTTTACAGTAGATGGTGTGGGATAAATGTGCATTTAGTGGTATGTCATGTCCACAGTACAGTGTTCCCGTGGTGAAATACGACAGGAACGGCTTCAGGCCTCGTCTCCGGCAGCTCATCTTCACCCAGGAAGCTGCTTACCTGATCGAAGAGGCCAAAATCAAGCAGCGGATCAATTACACCTCTCTGAAAGGTAACACTGATCTAAATAAGTTTCATCATCTGATGGAAAAACCACACAGATGTTTAAAATGCACATTTAATGCACTTGTTGTGCATGGTTTTTAAAGGTAACCTGTTTTGTAGGCGTGTCTGTGAGCAACCTGAGTGACAACTTCCTGATCCTTCATGTCACGTGTGATGATCTTAAACAAAAGGTACAGTTAAAAAAACTTGCCAAGACGCTTGACTCATCGAAACATGTTTGTACGACATAAACTTATTGAGCTTAGGTTTGTTAATGTCAAACTCACATAGGTGTGAATTTAAACCCCTCTGGCAACACCTAAAGGAAAATATTTTTAAAAAAGTAGTTTGATCCCCTGTAATTAAAATGAGTCTTTTAAAAAAAACAAAAACAGTTGAATTATCCATACCAGATTATGTGGACCCAACCAAAATATGAATAGCCTATATGATTATTTCATCTTATTTGTGTGATTTTTTTTCCCACTCCTGTAGTTTACAAAGTTTATCCAAGTACCGTAACCTTTTATACTTTTGAACATTTGTTATGATGTGTAACTATGACAACAAGGTGGTTTTGTACAACTGGGAGCTGGTGATTAACATCTCAAAGCTCAAATAATACCTCAACTACAGTCCCAAATCCCAAATGAGTTGAAAAGGAGGTACCGTGGATGCATTCCCGTCTCTCTGGAGGCATTGCTCGAGTGCTTGACCGCTGAGATATTGGAGATGGCGGGAAATGTGGCTTGTGACAGCGGGAGGGCCAAGATCGTTCCCCGGCACCTACAGTTTCATCCGACAAGGCGACACGGAGCTCGGCAGGCTGATGGGAGAAATAGCCATCGCTCCGGGAGGAGTTCTGCCCAGCATTCAAGCAGTCCTGCTGCCCAGGAGGACCGAGAGGTCTGCTGTGTCTGGACGGACGGATTGGCATCTGCAACCAGTTTGTTCAGATCCGCTGTGGGGTGGATGGTGCATGAAGAGCAAAATAACTGATCTGAAGAACTTAATGAGAGTGCGTTTGATTTATGGTAATTCAAAGTTTCATTTGTTCACTGTGACCTCTTGGGTAATTTTAATGGTCTGATTTTTTTAACCTTTATTAATACATGTAGTCCCATTGAATCATGAGATGTGAATTGGGCAGCTATGTGAGTGCCCAGATGTGATGAAGCTAATTGTTTTGGTGGCAGGAAGTTCGTTAGCCCGTCAAAAAAAAAAAAAAAAAACATCCAAAAATTAGCCACATCATTGTATATGCTGCAGGTTTCAAAGCCTGTGGAAAAAGTAGCTTATCTTCTGGAAATTACGGTAATTGTTTTTATTGTAGATTTGTCAGCTTATTTAAGAAACACAATCTGGCAACACTTGATTCTGCTAATGTCCAAGAGTGTGAATTTCTACATCCTTGGGGGAACTTAAAGGGTTCCAAACTTTAGTCCTGATTTACCTGTAAATGCATTAATCGGTCAATCAGGTAATAAAATAATTGACGAGCCTTGCTCTTCCAGGGAGATCTGGTTCTGCAGTGCGACCACCTGTTCGAAGCCCTGACCAAGCTGAGTGTTACTGCTGACAAGCAGAACTGCATCAAAGTGGTCCAGGGAAGGTACAGAACCTGTACATGAGGCAACATTTTAATAAGCAGGGTACATTTTAAAAGCTATGTCAGCTCAGTGTGGATTTTTCTTTTAATTGTCATTCAATCAGTGTGAGATTTGACATCCAGCCTGGCAGAGAGGGGTTTGTTGACTTCAAGAGTGGTCAGGAATCCACCGTCTACAGGGCAAAGAACGGTCACTTGATGGTGGTGAGTCTGGAGTTCACATGAAGGTAATTTATCTGAAGATGTGAGAAACTAACTGAGCTTTCTGCGCCTTCTAGGAATCAACAAGAGTCAAGTCCAGATGAAGCTTGCAGAGCATAACCTCGTTCATGGACAGCCTAAACAAACAGTCATGTTTGCTCTACACAGCTCTATTGACGTTTTTGGGTTATTTAAGTTTTGTCAGCTGATATTTAATTTTGCATCTTTATTGTTATACATGCTGTTATTGCACAAATACTGCCAATTAGTTTAGTTGTAGCAAGGGTAAATTATAGCTGAGCCTGGCCAGAAAAATGTTTTGGCTTTAATCATCTCTGAAGAAACTGAATCTGGAGCAGAATCAAGAATAAATGATGTGTCAACGTAACAGTAGACGTATGCGTGAAGCCACATTTTCATATTAAATTTAACAAAAATGATGTGTAGTTTCAAATATTTACCTTTTTTTTTTTTTTTTTTTTTTTTTACCAAATCAGTGCAAATGCAGAACTAAACACATCAGCTGCTTGTCATTTTATGGTGTTTCTGTGGTGACTCCTCCTGTAGCAGCGCCCCCTGCTGGACATCTGCTGAACCTGCAGAAGACTCATGGCTTCCAGAGAAAAGCTGCAAATAACTTTCTTCTAAGCTTTGTTTGGTCACATAAAAAAAAAAAAAATGCTGTCATGTCTGTTTAGGCACATCATTACGCTTACAAATAAAATTGTTTTGAGCTTTATTTGTTTTATTCTTCTGTAACGTCCATTTTCAAAAATATTGACTTCTTCATAATCAAAAAATAAAATGTTGATTTTCTGAAAAAATGACAGCTTGTTAGTCATAATTTCAGTAATATACATTAATTCTGATAAATTAAATTTGAACATATAAACATTTTTTAAAAAACACAATAAAAATTACATTTTGGATGTTTAAACTCCCCAATTGTTTTAACTTGAATTTAATGCATTTGGATCATTTTAACAGCCAACTAAACAGTCTTTGTTGTACTGCATTTAAGTAATGATATAAACTTATAAATTGACTGAATACTTCTAATTAAACCCAACTCGACCACTTTGCCTAAAATATACAATAATTTTAACTGAATAAAGTTTGTGCCGTGGGTTTTTTGAACTTTAAGTTCCCTGAGGCCTTGAGTTGCTATTTTAATTAACTTAAAACTATTTGCTCCATATCCTTTTGGGAAACTCGCAAATCATTTCAATCAGTTGAAATGCAGTATTTAGATATAATTATTATTTTACACTTACACAAGTTTAATAAAATCATTTGACACAAGTAGTTTAAGGAATTAATGTTTTGTTTCCTTGGACACACGTGAAGATGTTTGGTTTATTATCTCCACTACTCATTTTTTATCTATAATTTGGATATTTTATAAAATAATCAAAATGAGAAAGTGCCAAGTCAAGTGAGATTCTGAACGTCAAAATCAACAACCGTAAATGTTTGAAGCCAGAAATACATTTTTTAAATTCGACTGGCTCAAAATGAGAAAAAACCTCATGAGCACACCGCTGAAAATAAGACTCTAGTTACTGATTAAACTGCAGTTTGTAAATGAAGGTTATCAAAAGTCCAAGGTTTGAAAAAAAATGCTGAGCCATGCGCGGTTAAAAACACGAAGCCAGTTTTTAATCAGAACGCAGCAGACGTCTGAGCTGACAGGATGAGGAAACCCATCGCTGCTCTGATTTTTATTCTTCTGGTTTCATGTGTCTGCAGAACAACAGGTGAGTATCACATTCATATATATATATATATATATATATATATATATATACTTTCCGCTGTTCCCTGAATTTGTTATTTAGACTAGATTTTACTGCTGCAGAAAAGTATTTAGTTCTAAGCAATTTTTCCACAGAAACAGTAAATATGCAAATATGCAGCTTGATTAAGTTGTGGACATTTATAAACATTTATATAAATTTATACATATCTGCTCAGTTGTATATTGTTGTAATTTCTACCAACCTTGAAGTAAGCACACTGTGCATTTTCCAGCAGTTATCTTGGACCTGTCCTTCCTCTGACTCCCTACAAGATACTCTGTACTCCTTTGGACAGACTCTGTACTGATTGTAAATTTGTGCACAGAGATGATCAAACCTTCAAAGACCAGATCATTCTTTGTTGGTCAGGTTTCTACACAGCAGATGAAGTTATTTTAGGACAGAACACAACGATCCGCTCAGAGAGATGGAGCATTCTAATGCGTGGGTCTCATATCTCAAATCATGGTAAAGTGCAGGGGTGCCCAAACATTTCCCCTGAGGGGGCCAAAATTAAAATTTATCAGAGGGCTTCAGGCCAAACGCAATAATATAATACATGAAATGCAAATACTTCTTTAAGTAAAGTCCTTTTATTTTTATATAGTTATTTAACCTTCATTTTTTGTATAAAGAGCATTACAGAACACAACATATAACAAGTCATATACAAAGGAAAATTAAGCAAATATCTAAATTTTAGCATTTCAATAAATTATATTTAATGCAAAATGTCAAAAAGTGCATGTCCAACAGCAACACAACTCAACATGTATGTCTGCAAAAGAAATGTTAATAAAGTAACTAGATTAGCTCCTGGTGGGCCAACTTTGGCCCGTGGGCCCCCACTTTGGGCAACTCTGGCAATAATGTAAAACCTAACCATTGACAGCTTTTTAAAAATTAATTTATATAAAAAAAGGAAACATTCTGTTCAAAAACATTAACTTGTAGATTCAGTTTGATGGCAGTTTAAGGTTCGTTTATGACAAATAAAACTAAGCAATTATAATCTGTTTAGACATTCAACTTATTGTAAGCTCCAGGGTATAGTTAGCCTTTAACACTTAGATAAAAAA